CAGTCTCGACAGTCTTGGTCAAGATGTTCACGTGGCTGACTAAAGACAACAATATCACTTCAGTCAAAGCTTGTCTTGTCTGGTAATCTAGAATTCCTTACTCATATTGAAACTTACTGAAATCCAAGATGCAATCCAATACTTGAAGATCTGGAATGAGCGGGCATTTACAAGTTCCATTCACATTCGGAATCGGAATCTTGGGAGTAACAGTTGGAAGAGTGACTGACGGGACGGACACCGGGGGAAGACTTCCAGCTAACAGTGGAGTGGCCAAGAAAGCGATGATGAAGATTGAAGTGATCATTTTCTCGGAATGAGTTGAGAAATGAAATGGAATGTGGTGGAGGCGATGATGATTTGGTTTTGAACTCGACTTTTATAGTGGCTATTTCAAGCAAAATATTTTGTTCGACCATCATTTCTGATCATAATGTCAAATATAGAACATCGGTCAAAACAGCTCATTTTGGGTTTGATCATTTTATGGAAAAGCTGTCTGGTCTGATCTTGTTTTGATATAAAAATTTCCATATTGCGATCGCTCGGATTGAACGGAGAGAGAACAATGAGGGCTGTTTAGGACGATCTCTGACTGGGTTGATGTCTATTTTGATTCTCTAAAAAAGGAGATAATGTAATAACTAAAATTGAGGCTGACTTCAGTAAGTTATACAGTAATCCTACTATAATAATCAATAACAATCTGACAACGGGGTTCATTTTTGGAAGAAAAATATCTCTCCTTTTCATTTTTATGTTCATTCAAAAAAGGCTCATTGAGCAATAAAGAAATTTCTCTGTCAAAACACCGAATCGTTTGAATCAGACTGTTTTCAAAACGAACTCATAGTCAGCTTTTCGTAAGCTGATCACCAATCATGGTTTAAAAATATTTTGGCCAAGTTTGGCACTATAAAAGATGGCACTGGAAAATCATCACATCCAACCGTTACATTCTCATTTCACTACTCATTCCGAGAAAATGTCGGCTCCAATCTTCATCATCGCTTTCTTAGCCACTCCACTATTAGCTGAAAGTCTTCCCCCGGTGTCCGTCCCGTCAGTCACTCTTCCAACTGTCACCCCAAAGATTCCAATTCCGAATGTGAATGGAACTTGTAAATGCCCACTCATTCCAGATCTTCAAGTATTGGATTGCATCTTGGATTTCAGTGAGTAACGAATAGAAGAAAGGTTATGCCAATCATTTAGTCAGCCACGTGAACATCTTGACCAAGACTGTCGAGACTGTGAATGGAACGCAATTCAACAAATACACCATCCAACACCTGCAGATCCTCAAGGTATTCAATTCATGACTCAATATCTCATAAACTCCATTCCAGGGTGGCCTCGAGCTCCCCTCGGTCGTCCTCGTCCCAATGGGTCCATGTGGATTGGAATTGGAGGTTGATGTTGAATATCTTCTCTCCGGATTGTTGACCGGTGAATCAAATCTCTACTCTGGTCTCTGTCTTCAAGTCTTGACTGGAGTTCTTTCACCCGTTTGGTCTTTGGTTGATGATTCACTCATCCAACAAATCGGTCTCCTCCAAACAGTCCAGGATTTGGTGTGCCAACTCCTCGAGGAATTGATCGAGCCACTTCTTGGGAAACTGCTTGTGTAAGTCTTGATCTCAAAATATCTCATTCATTCAATTTCAGTGTCCTTCCTGGACTTGATGCTCTTGGTGGTTTGGCTGGAGGTCTTGGTGGAGTTGGTGGACTCACCAATGGATTGTGAGTCCGTTTCCAAATAATTAAAACCAATTCAATTCTAGGGGTCTCGGTGACTTGCTCGGTAGATTGTAAGCGCCAAAAAACTAGGCTGTTTTCTTAATTATGTGCCCAATGTCTGTATAAACGATTCGCATTTAATACAAAACAACAACGCAATCAATTTTCATTTATTACTTTTCCATTTTATCTGAAAAATTTCAAAATATTTTCCTGAATCGTTGTCCAGTACTGTTTTGCTGATACGTGCTTCCAAGAGTTTGTGACGGTTCGGAGAATGTAATTTTGACTGGAAAATTGATTATAGATTATCGTACTGGATTAATCTAGAGCGGCTCTGACATACCTTTCACTTTTATCCAGTGAGGCATAAGCTTCTTAACCAAGACATCCCGCAACGGTTTCGAGCCGAAGATGAGAATCAGGCAGTTCCCAGTTGAATGCCAACTCACATATAGTGTTGCTAGTGAAGGCACTGAAATGAAATGTAAAATTGAAGTTGCTGAGAGCAACAAAATTTACTTACATAAATCCGGGAGTATGTTGCTACCCATAATCTTCGTTGAGAGCAAAATCACGGGCGTGATGTAGAAAATAACAAAAACCATATACTAAAAGTTGTGTTTATTTGTTTGGACCATCTAATTTCATGTACTAATTCACTCATTCACTCACCTGCATCAACAATATCCTGACAAAGCCGATCTGTGTCTGCCGAGCCTGCTTGCTGCGCACTTTACTCTTCATTTTGTGAATCAGACACAAAATATAGATTACAATGTAGACTTCTTCGATGACAAAAGCGGTGAGCAGTAGAATGACCAAAATTCCGCCCCTCGACGTCCAAGAGTTTGGCGTAACCCAATAGTAAGTGTTAGGCGTGAATTGCATATAATGGATAAGCTCGGCTGGGATTGTCCCTTCCATTATGGAGGCATTGTTCTGAAAAATGATTTGTCAAATGATTCAAGACTTTTCAAAAGGTCAATAATTCACAAAGCAAGGCTGTAGAATGGTACTTGATCTTATTTTTTGTTCGCCGCATTCTGATAAAGTTCCTGGTCTTCTGACTTGCTTGGCGCATCAAATGATACCAATAATATTTAAATTTAAAACACCTCAACACCAAGATATTTGAGCTTAAAGTTAGATTGCTAATGGCAAAGGGACCTTTTATCCGCGCCTCACCACCTTTGCCATTGGCAATCTAACTTTGAGCTCAAATATCTATAATTTGAAAATTCTTGGTATCATTTGATGCGCCAAGTCTTTCTCTGTCGATTGATACAAAACTACTTAAATTGAACAGCCCAACACTAAGATATTTGAGCTCAACCCACCTTATCGTCGACTCCAAGCAGTTGAGACCCGAACTCGAAAACAATTATCAACAGCTTATACACCCCACTTCCATAAACACTGATACTCTAAAATAGGTGTTGTTGAAAGTCGAAAAACCTACACAAAAACCTCATTTTGAATCATATCCAAATCGTACAATGGTACACCCTCCACGATAACAAACCCAAGGATTGATAAGGCCATTATACACAAAGTGGTTTGTATAAATCCCCGGGAAAAGATTTTCTTCTCGAGCTCTCCATATTTGAGAAAATAAATTCGCGAATGCAGAGTGGCTGTCAGCAAATAAACAAGTAATAGCTCACCGCAAATGTAGAGACCCTGAGATGGCAATTTCGTTCTGATAACTCATAGAATTGTAAGCTTACTGTAAGAGTTTTAGCCATTGTGATGTTCAGCTGAACCCATCGAAATGGCGAAGTTGAGGTGAAAGCGAGGTAGGGCATGAGAATGATCGGCTGAGTGATACACAAGACAAAATCACAGAAGGATGAAACGCACTGAAATTTAAAAGTTAATTTAGCACTTTATTTAAAAACTATCTACCTATATAATCTACATTCTGATTAAAGTACTAATGATAATCCAACCGCGCCCTAAGTCTTGTAATCCAGACTAGGACAGGCAAAGCCAAAAGTCAGTCCCCGGGTACCCCGGGTGCAAGTACGACAAATGATTTTGAGAGCCAGCTACTACAGTTCACTAGCAAGTCAACCCACCACAATAGCTACTTGCAGATAAAGATAAATTTTTGATAACTTCTTGGTATTGGAGAGTAAATACAGTGTGAGAGCGCTGAGTAATATTGACATAACGCCGGAAATATCGTAGACAATATGGAAGATTTGCGCTTGTAAGGGTGTTTGGGAAAAGAGCACCATTTAACGTCTATAACTTATAGACTATAAGTTATGAAAAGTTAAAAAGAAGCAAACAGTGATAAATAATCTACTTTTTCTTCGAATCCTAATTTTCTCAGGTGCCTTTCTCAATTTTTTGGAACAGGTGTGTTGTAACCTACAAAAAATAAACTTTGATTGTTTGAGGATGATTGGCTTAAAGCATTGAAAAAAAGTGAAAATGAAAAAATACTAGGAAAAAGTGAAATCGTTTGAAATTTTGAATCATTTAAATCAAAATTTGAATGATTTTCGAGGTAAAGATGAGCAAATTGTTGCTTTTTTTTTGAAAAGTTCAGCTTGTGAATGGAAAGCAGGTGAAATCTTGGCTCCAAAAGGGAAACAAAGCTAGTAGCAATACACCCACGGGTTAAACATGTAATGAACTAGAAATTAGCATCCCAAAATATGACATGATCTCAGTTTTATGCTTGGTTCATTTGCTAGATTTGGTCAGAGAACTGTCTCTTTGTCGAGTCCGAAAGGTGGCTCAATTTTGAAGCTGGTACAAAGGATGTGCGGATAATCCAATCGAAATCTATTCAAGCCCAAAGCCAAGATCACTACCGTAAATACTGTAATTGAAGAGCACCTCTTTCACATACTTATCATCTTGTTTAACTTTTAATCTTCCAACAACTTTTATCATTTATTTGAATTATTAAATTCTCTTTTTTAAGATCATAATGTCGACGTTTAGAAATTTACTCAAGAACATATTCAGCTCTACTAAATTTCGGAAATTCCGTTTCGGGAAAATTGGTCACCGGTTCAACCTACAGACATAGGTGATAAAAATGCGCTCTCTTTTAAGCTATCTGATGGTAAATTTAGCTTGAAAATTCGTCCAGCCGTTTCTAAGAAAAGTATTAAATGGTTTATAGGATCGTAACCTACATTTCTTTCTTTATTTTTTCTTTCGAGCTAAATAAAACAAATTCATAAATGACAGCATAAACGAAATACTAATGCTATCTTTCTTTGGCCTCAACGGCATTACGGCATTATTGACCACGTCATCAGTTTCAACATTTTCCCTCGAGTTTGAAACCACCATTGACCCTAAACACAGTTACTTATTTCAATCACCACATTACCAGTTCTTTTCACCTGTAGTTGTCCTGCTGCTTGGCCTATGGTGGAGGTAGCTCCGTGGATCCAAGTGGTAAACGATTCTTCCACTTTAGTTCCTTAAAGGCACATTAAATGGATTGTAAATACAATATAGTATTTTCAAACCAAAGTATTATTTACCTGCTTCCCTAAATTTCGACCAGTGTTGTATGCATACATGCTAAACGTTTAGCTCCACCGCTACCATGAACAGCGTGCTCCATCAACATACCAATGTCTCGCACTCCAACCTGGCCCGAAAACATATGACTAAAAACTCGTCACAAAGTCATACGCAAAAAAAAACAAACCCTGGAGGTATCAAAACGTTGGCGAAACCATCTATACTTGAAAGTTAAGAGTTTTTGCCAAGCCGAAATAAGCGACGAACCAAAATCGGCGACTATATTCTAAAATCTTGAGTGGACCAAACCATCGAATTCTACCCGCAATTTATTACAAACTGATGCTGCCAAAGACAATCAATAATTTCGGAATTGTAGTCGAATCAATTCATTTCTTTCCCAAGCTAAAAAGTGATAAATTTTGTCAAAATGACGCACGCAAACCCACCCGCTTCAAGGATTTTCTTTTGTGCTATATTCTTGAGCAAATAATCATAAAAGCATAAATCACTGGTTGTAAGTACAAGTTAAATTACAAATGAAGCTTCGAAAAAACTAAAATGCACTTACTTGTTTTTCAAGCTCGGGATATGTTGCTTTTATCAATAAACTTACTGTCACAATAACATCTACGTGCTCGCGATTTTGAATGAATAAGTGAATTGTAGCACCAATCGTATATACACGAGCCCTTTTAGAGAACTGATCCTTTGTTATTGCGCGATCTCCGGTGTCTTCAACAATACTTTCATGAGTATCCGATGATTTGGATTCCTTGTGGCATTCATCTAGCTGCTGACAGGGAGATGCCGCGTGAAACAATCCTTCCTCGATCATTCCTCAAAAACTTATTTAAAATCAGTATTGATCACCAACTTGGAAATAACGACAATAGAGCCAGCATAGTATCACCAACAGGAAACATGTTAAATACAACCTTAAATTGAAGTCCTTCAGGGCTACTTGCACAACATTTTACCTTTCTCTCTAACAAAATCAACTTGAAAAGTAGCAAAGATCCATGTTTAAACTTTTTCACAAACACAAACTCTCGCCGATGTATCTAAATTTGTATTTATTGTTTTCAAAACTCAAAGCATTACCTATTATAGGCGATTGGCCATTGGTTAAATCTTCTTCGAGCACGTCAACCAAGTTTTGGTACATCTGCGAAAGTACTTCGATCTAATAAAACACTTTATGGAAATAATCTGATCAAACAAACCTTCGAAAAATCTCTTCCATTGAAATATGACTGTGTAGTTTTGCCTTCAAAGCTCCGAAAGAGGAATTTTTTAACGATACTCCTGGTAACAACGTCAAGCCGAGAAACCAACTCTTAGAAAAAATAAAAAGACGGGTTGGTTGACACAACTTTTCTCTCACATTTGCATCGATTTGTCAATAACATGAAATCCCAAAAACGCTTTTTCAGCATCCTCTCTCGACGGGAGCAGAAAATACAAGACGTCTGTCAATGAACTATTTTACTAAACACACAATACACAAACCGCTTTCGGCATGGTGCGCACCATCGGGTATTGCTAAAGATGGTAAATTGATCCATTCTACAGGCAAATATTGTGAAGACTCATCAACCAGTGGAGGATGGGTACTGAAATTGATCGAATTATTCACTCATTTTTCATTGGCGCACCTTTTGTGTTCAACGAATCCGGGAGCACAGTCGGGGAATTCAAAAGAAACACTTTCTCTTTGTACTTCGGTTCGTTGGTTTTCAAGTCGATCACAAGATGATTCATGCAACATGTGCAAGGTTGAGTCTTATAAAAAGTCTTCGGTCTTCACATTTCAAATAGATTTAACCAATTTATAAATGCCTCTCGTTGTCTTAATTACCAATGCTCTCCACACTTTTCTTCAAACAATATCCGGTTTATTAAAGAAGCAAAATTTTAGTAAAATAAATCATAAAGGGTAAGCGTAACAACAACTAAACAACAAAAGGAACAATTGGAGCTAGAATTGGCTCAAATTTGATCAGCAAACAAAGTTCGTCATCTTCTTGATTTATGAGATAGACGAGATTCTTTTCCTTGTCGAACTCTTGCTTGAAACCGAGCGTCTCGGGGTTCATAGCCCAGGGCTGCATTGATTCAGGCGCATCGCGAAGCGCACTACGGAATTGTTGATAAATCGCGGTCGTTTGAGAGACGATGATTGGCTTTTTGTTGGTGATGATTCTCATGACATTTACTGCACCAGTTGAATCATCGAAAAGGCGTAAAGCAAGAATTGTATTATCGCCTACACCTGGCACTCCATCCTTAAGCACCAAGTTGAGTGCCTCTTCGAACGCAGGAAACCCCCAATCGGGCATCGCAAAACTTGCGAAATGAAAGCGCTGCGTCTTCAACCAATCAAACACTTTTTTCAGCGGGAAAAGGTCGAAGTCGATGAACTTGACACCGTCATTGTGTTGGTCAATAAACTGGAGCATACTTTCGACATCTTGAGCAGTAGTGTTCACCAGTTGTTCATCAAGATAAGAAAATTCAAAAAGCAACGCTCGGCGGATCTTGAAAGACGTGTCCAGAAAAGTTGCGCGAAACTTTTCAAATGACGCCACGTAGACCTTTGCATCAAACACCATGGCCAGGTGTGGCAACGCAGTGCGCATCTCGAAGTTACCTTGCTCGAATTGTACCTCCAGTAAGCGAGCAATCCGCGTCGACTTGATTAACCGTCTGCGTTTTCCTTTCAACTCGTACAATTGCAGGTCGCGCGTCGTCAGCAACATTGTACCGTAGTGGAGCGAAAGCTTCTCCAAATCGCGAGGGAATAATCCTTCTTGACGTGTCCATTTCAGCAGCTGTTTGTTGGTTTGAAGGAGCTGCAATCGCGTGTTGACGTTAGTCTTCAAGAGCACCAGTTCTTGTAGATGGCGAGGCAGACCGGAAAAATCCTTTCTCTTTTGAGTCAAATTGATTTGCGAGGTCGAGACAACGTCTTCCGATTTCTGAGCCTTGATTGTTGCAACGCGTCTGCGAAAGTTGTAACGGCCACCTAAAAGAAAAAAAAGATTGATATAATAAAACTTGAACTTAAAGTTTTGCACATTGTATGATGGAAAATATTTTTGTCTAAACATAAATTATTGCATTAAGGTAGTGACAGTTGCAGCAACCGTTAAAATTTGTTAACAAAATCGCGTAAATCAAAACTCCGGAGATTAGCTGTATCTTGTACTTACAACCCAATTGCTTATAACCATATCATTTTAATTATCAAAAGTCTAGGCAATAACATAAAAATGCTGACCTCCCGGAGGATCGTTCGACGGATTATTCGCTTGTTCGACGTTCTTTTCTTCACTCTTTTCCTTTGTCTCTACACGTTTCTCTTGAATATCCATCTTTATCTAAAAAATTAGGTTATTAGCTTCAACAAATCAACAAAAATAACGAAACAAGAAAGGTAATAGGTTTCGGGGGAGTGGGACAAATGCTACCTTTTTTAGCGCACCCGGGCATTTGCGCACCTTTTTTTCCGCACTTGGCACATTAGCGCACCTTTTTTCGCGTTTTAAAAAAGCTCTAAAAGCTAATATTAACCAATTTCTATTCCAAAAGTTGTTTTTTAGGTAATTTGAGGGTGTCGCATTCAAATTTTGACATAACAGAGCGTGTGAAACCAATTTGAAAGACAAAACGGCTAGGTCAAATTACAGAAATTGTTGAGTTTTCTCTTTGTATAACTCCGTCCGTTCGCTTCCACAAGCTCTGATATGCCAAAATCTCGATTCTACGCCCTAAAATTACCTAGAAAAACAACTTTTGGAATAGAAATTGGTTAATATTAGCTTTTAGAGCTTTTTTAAAACGCGAAAAAAGGTGTGCTAATGGGCTAAGTGCGGAAGAAAAGGTGCGCAAATGTCCGGGTGCGCAAAAAAAGGTCGCATTTGTCCCACTTCCGGTTTCGGCAGTGAAAAGCTATAACCTAACAATGCTAAACGTCCCATTATTCCGAAATTTATGTAAAAACATAGCTAGTTTTCAACTTTTCAATCCTAACAAAACTAATAATACGAGATTTGGTCTAGGATAGTAAGACAGTAGAATAATGATGAAATAAGCGCACCGGCTCATTGAGCAACAATGAAAAATTTCCGCACTTGCACTTATTTATGCGCCAATCTTTCAAGTTATTCAGCATTTTTGCAAAGAAACTACATATTGTTGCTATTCGAAAGTTTGGGCTTTTCATCTTTTTCACCAATTGCTCAGCAAATAGCTTTAGATAAAAAAAAATGAAATTACTTTGCAATAGACATGGAGTCGAGTCGAGTCACCCTGACTTGAGTGACTCGACTTTTTAAAGTCGTAACTCGGTGACTCGACTCGTGACTTTTTTGGCTAGAAAACCCCCAAGAAGAACTAGTAGCTTTAGCCGCTGAAACGAGTCTTTCTTTTTGAAACATTGGCATCATGAATTTCTGAAATGGCAATAACATAGATACAAGCCTATTCAGAAGCTAAAAATCAACTAAAGACAGAAGTTTGTACATCTCAAAGTATTGCCCTGTAAAAATATGACCGCATATTCTGTTCGGTGGAGAAAAATGAGATGCAGAGATTGAAGAGTATACGAAAATTGTCAGGGTTAGTGGGGGGTGGGACAAAGGTGCACCTTTTTTTTGCGCACCCGACCAAAAGCGCACCTTTTTTTTCGCTGGAAAAGGCCGTAGAGCTTTAAAAATGTTTCCACATAAGGGAATCGTATGCGTAGATTCCGAATTTCGACAAATCAGACCTCGCTGACACGTCAAATTTGGGCTAAGAGGCAAAAACTACGCAACTTAACGCTTTTCCGCAGTTTTTGCCTCTTAGCCCAAATTTGACGTGTCAGCGAGTTCTAATTTGTCGAAATTCGGAATCTACGCATATGATTCCCCTATGTGTAAACATTTTTAAAGCTCTACGGCCTTTTCTAAGGCCTTTTCCAGCGAAAAAAAAGGTGCGCTTTTGGTCGGGTGCGCAAAAAAAAAGGTGCACCTTTGTCCCACCCCCGGGTTAGTGTGAATAAAAGTTTGATATTTAGTCCCCCGTTCTTTCAAGTCCACATAAGAGATCGGCTCAAAAAGGTTTGTACTGTGAAAACTATTGCTGATTCATCTTTATTTCAAGCCCAAGTGCTCCCATTTGCTGTAAACTCTATCGATCACGAGTATGATTCGTGGCCACACTACTGAATGGCAATGTGACGAGAATTGTGTCGATTGTATCTAAAAGCGTGTTGAATCTTTCGATTTCAAAGAATCGAACTTTTTCTGCCTAAACGTAGCCAGCTTTTCACAGCTTTTCAATAGGATTTCACTATAAAGATGAGTATTAACAAGTTTGCTTGAGAAATAGCGTTGCATTTCGAGAGCCGTTTGGCTGATATATCGATGAAAAGTCCAAATTTTTTCTAGAGCTAGTTCTTTGCGAAAGAACAAGGTCACAAAAAGTACTCACTCAGTTTGTACTATGTTTTTAAGGCAATTTTATAGGCTTAAGAATTTCGTTAGTTCTAGCAACAAAATCCAAATATCTGCCGCATTTTCTAAGATTGGTGAACGCATGAAATGAAGCGACTGAAAGTGGGAAAGAGACGAAAAGAAAATGAGAACAAAGATTTAGAGTGAAGAGGCTTTTTGGAGGGTCCAGATTGGAAAAGAGCGCAAAAAACGTGAAAAGAGGACCTTCAGGACAACGCACACACGAACAAACACCAGACACACAGGAGTGGATAGACACACAGACAAACGCACACCCCTCACCCAGACACACAGCTGGTCTTGACTATCGATTTGGCACCGATTTTAATATGATTTTCCTTCACCAACTAATTATCAGGGGTTTTCCTTATCCTTTTCTTGGTCCTTTACGGTTTTGCCTCTCACAAGTCATGGTTAGACTTGTTAGGGTTTGAAATTATCACTTTACATTGCTCAATACGTGTTTTAGAATCGGTTTTTCACATTCTTTTCAAATTTTGAGCAGAATTTTGTTTTACTTTGTGGTTGTAACAATTATTAGCTGTAGAAGGTGGAAGATTTTGAAATTGATATATGAGGATATCTGAGTAAAGACCTTCAGAGAGAGAAAAAAGATGTTTTTCGAGATGTTTTCGTATTAAATTTGAATTTCTGTCGTAAATTTTAAATGTTGATTTTATCTTATTGTTAAATCTTGGGAGTGGGACAAATGCGACCTTTTTTTGCGCACCCGGACCTTTGCGCACCTTGCCCCCTTAGCGCTCATTTTTTCGCGTTTTAAAAAAGCTCTAAAAAGCTAATATTAACCGATTTCTATTCCAAATGTTGTTTTTCTAGGTAATTTGAGGGTGTCGAATTCAGATTTTGACATAACAGAGCGTGTGGAACCAATTTGAAAGACAAAACGGCTAGATCAAATTACAGAAAATCGTCGATTTTTCTCTTTGTATAACTCCGTCCGTTTGTTTTCACAAGCTCTGATATGCCAAAATTTCGATTCTACGCCCTAAAATTACCTAGAAAAACAACTTTTGGAATAGAAATCGGTTAATATTAGCTTTTAGAGCTTTTTTTAAAACGCGAAAAAAGGTGCGCTAATGGGCTAAGTGCGGCAAAAAAGGTGCGCAAATGTCCGGCTGCGCAAAAAAAAGGTCGCATTTGTCCCACTCCCTTAAATCTTAATTTTCGCGCAACGTCGCATTCCAATTGACGTCACCGCCATTTGGAGGTAGTTGATGGGACCGCGTCGTCGTTTCTTTTTCGTTTTCAAATCATTTTTTTGGTCAGATTAATTGTAAGTAGAATTTTACGCGATAACTTTTGTATTTAAACAAAAAAGCAATCTATTTCCATTTGGGAGCCGAGTGGAGAATCCGGAACTTTTCGTAGCCGGACCACAATGAAGGCCAAAACTAACTGGAAAATGATTTGGGGAGTTGAATGGAAACAACAACAGCAATCAAAAATTACAAGACTGCTGCTGGTTAGCTCAATTTGAAATTTGCATTGTTCCATTTAAGTTAGTGCCTTCATTTAAAAATTTCGCACTTTATTAGTCATTTTAGAATTTACTACTTCGAACAAGAATCCTGAACGCTTGGAAGACTGGGAAAGCGACGGGGAATGGAGTCGAAAACGAACTTTTCCTTGATTGATACAGAGGTGGGTAAAATATTTCTTGAACAACTATATTCTTAGGATTTACTAGTGTAAGACTGAAAATACTCAATCTCATTCTTTTAGACGAGCCCAGACAGCTCGCTTCTTGTCGGTGATTTTACCCAGTTAACCGATCAACTCTTCCCGAAAGCAGGTATGAAACTTTTTAGAATGATGTTTTTCAATGAGAAAATATTAGAAAATGAGATTTTGGACTTGAAAGATTATCAAGAAACCAAAAATAAATTAAATTTAGACATTTTACAAATCACTACAAGCTCCGCCGAGACTTTGGGCGATCACCAATACGCGGAGCTCTTGGCAAAGAGAAAATATGAGGCTGAACGAGTGGCGATCAGGTTCGAATTTTGATACTCAGTTTAATTAGTTATTTAATTCATTACAATTAATTCTCATTCCAGACGTTCACAAGAAACCCCCGAACAGCGAGAGGCTCGACTCGCCAAGGGACGTGAATACATGAGAAGAAAGTTGGTTTAGATGCACTGTTTATCTATTTTTGTGTAAGATTCCGCTAATTTCGATGAACAATGAGCAAGGGTATTCATTTTTTAGCTTTCTTATTTTAAAAAAAATGGCGATTGCAAAGAAATTGCACAATTTGAACCATCCAGCATATATATACAGACCTAGAATGTTTTGAGGACTGTCCAAAAATTATAGGCGCTAAAAGAACATTTTCCATTGATTTTCGGAAACCTTGAAAAGTGATTTACCATAAAAATTCTAATAGAAGGCCATGGTCTTCTAATTTTCAGCCGCCTAAAATTGGCCGGTCAAAAAAGTAGATAAAGGTCCCCCACATGAATCAAAAAATTAAAAGCTTTTAAAAACTATTTTAAACGATAACCCTTGGCATAAAACGTACGAAAAATATGTTTAAAAGTAAAATAATTTTTTCACTTTTTCAAAAATCATGTTTTCAATTTTACTGCCAAGGCTAAAATAGTTCTATTTGGACCTAAATCTATCATTCTAACTAAAAAGAAGTTTCAAAAAGTCCCGATTTCAGGGGTCAGAGGGGTGGTCTTCTATTAGAGACTCATCTCCTATTAGAATATTTACGGTATAGTAATTCGATGATGTTGAATCCGAATCTGAACACCGTTTGTCGATAACTCTTACCATTTTCGAGATCTGGAACACCCATTTTTGTATGGAAAAACGGTTTTTACAATAAAAATTCTTCGAATCAAATTTTTTTTGGAAAACTATTACGGTTTTCAGAAACGAAATGAAACTTGCAACTTTCTCTTCTTTGGGTTCGTGGGGTTTGGGCGCAAAAACGAGCTAGAAAGTGAAGGTAAAGAAAACTCGAGCCCGAATCTTCCAAGATGTTTTCTCATTTGCTTGAAAATGTTAAGAAATATCGAAAAATGGTTTTCAGATTCGGATTCAGCATCATCGAGTTTCAGATAAATCACTTTTAAGGTTCCCGAAAATCAGTAGAAAATGTTTGGAAAAGTGTGTTTATAATTTTTGGACAACCCTCAAAACAATCAATGCCTGTACATCAATGTTGGATGGTTCAAATTGTGCAATTTTTTTTTAAATGGAAGCTAAAAATGAATACCTTGCTCATTGTTCGTCGAAAATTGCGGAATCTTGTACAAAAATGAGTGCGTCTATAATTTTTGGATAGAGTGTTTCTTGAAATGATATTTGCGAATTTAAGAATTCAATATTTAGCAATAAAAATAGATATCACTAAAAGATTCACACAAAAAAACCCTCAAAAAAATTAGATTTAGAAGAGCAAATCTCAATGGAGAGTCAACATTTGACATCACACAACCAACGACTTCAAAGGCACCATCGCCGAGACCAACACTGCAAAAAGCGATTCCAATTCTGCGAGATCCAATCCTTTCAATGCCCGTCATTCCAATGAGTCCAATCCATCTCTCAGCTATTCGACTTCTAGATGAACAAAAGCCGACCACTTTTGAAATGTCCCAGCCACCGACGATGGTTTCTCCTATGTTTCCTTCACTGTCGTTGATGCCGTTTGATATCAAGTGAGAAGTGCTATTTTGTTAGCAACAATGCTTAATTTCAGAGCGGAAACGAACTCAAGCGCTGCATCAAGTCCAAGTGCTGCAGCCAGGGCAAAGAGGTGGGCTACAGAGACGCCGGAGCGACGGTTGGAGAGACTCGAGAAGCAACGAGACTATATGCGAGAAAAGAGGTATTGCTAAGACAAAATAGCTTAAATAGAGATGCAAACAATCATATTCAGGCGAAAGAAGTATGACGAGGAGACCCCCGAGGAGCGCGAGCGACGCCGTGAAGCAAATCGGATCCGAACAAGGTGTCGGTGGGTTTTTTAAAAATCTTCCTATCAACTGACGCACGATTTGCCTATCATTAGCAGGATTGTTCTAAAGGCCTAGGCATGACCAGAATCAGGGCAGCAGTATGACTTGACGGCTTGGCTTTGTTGCTGACCTTACCTTACCTGGTATCGGGCTCTAGCCTTGCCCAGCACCCAATTGAAACATCCCTGATCATTGAGTAACTTGAAAATTCCCCTCCTGTGATTGCAGTAAATTTCTAGACGCTTGAATGAGACGCTCGATGAGCGGGAGCATCGCCTCATTCAGCAAAGAAACTACTCGAACTGGGCGTTAGTTTTATAGATTTTTGTAGAGTACAGATCGAAATTAGAAATTGAGTCCAAAATCCAAATAAATCCAAATAAACCCAAATTTCAGCCGAGCCAACCAGACTCCACTTGAGCGAGAGGAAATCCGAGCAAAGGATCAAGATCGAGCGAAAAAAAGACGAGCCTCGACAAAGTGAGTCCTTTGAATTATAATATTATTGTGATATGTCTAATTATACTAAATATTTATTAAATGATAGGATTTTGAGTTATCTTTTGATTTAGAGTCATCGAGAGTCACGAAGAGAAAGCTCTGCGGGTGGCAATGCTACGAGAAAGCCGCTTGGAAAGGTGAGATCTTGTGAAATCAGAGTTTAAACTCATTTTTGAGTACAAACTGAACTAACTAGATCTACTAGAAGTAACTAAAAAAGAGAAGTAAATTTTCTATCAATGAACGTAAGCAAACGTTTTAACTTGCATTGATCAAGCTTATGTTTAGTTTGCTAAACGAGACGGAAGAGCAGAGAGCGCAACGGCTGGCAAAGGCGAAGACAATGCGAATGGAGAAGTGAGTTACCGGATCAAATACTGAAGTAAACTATTTAATTTCTTTTCTTCTGGAAACATTTTGAACCTTGAATTCCAGAAAAGCCCGAGAGACAAGCGAAGAACGAGACGCCCGAATGCAGAGACAACGAGAGTACAACTTAGCGGTGTGAGTTTCAAAATTGATACCTTGATCAAAATAGTTTCAACTAATACTCAAAATTACCATTATTTTATGTTTTGTACACAGCATTCATCAATTTTGTTCTAGTTTGGCTAATGAAAGCGCCGAAAAACGGGAACAGCGATTGGCTTATCTGCGGGAATACCAAAGACAAAGGTTAGCTAAACTAAAAATATTTAAACTTTTTTGAAAAAATACTGAAGTAATATATTCAATTTCCTTTTTTGAATAGATACTTCAGTTACTTGAAATAAGTTTGTTTTAGTTACTTGAGAGAAGTTAGATCATTACTTACTTTAGAATAGCCGCCGAGACCCCAGAAGAACGAGATCAGCGATTGTCAGTACTCCGGAACTATGCTAGACTGAAAAAGTTTGTCACTTGAACTATCTTAAAAACTAACTTAAAATTTCGCTTTCTAATCATGAAATTGAAATTGAAATAAAGAATCATTCTACTTAATCAATTTCAGCATTCGTCAAGGAAAAGCTGGATCGAGCAAACGGCGAAGACAAGTGCGTGATGATGGGTAAGAATGCCGAAACTTACAATTCTAATCAAACTTTAGGGATCTTGATAAAGAAGGCACAACCGACTCTGAGAAATCCGATGCTGAATCTTTTGAGGTAAGTGTTGCGTATTGTGAGGAGACTTGCTTATCGATATTATCGATACAACAGTTTCTAGAACAGCTATCAATCTGAAAATTGTTTTATTGGAAATTCAAGAATGTCAACTTTTGATTGCTATTTTATACCTAGCAACTTTTAATGAGTAAGCAGCTCATAAACCTTATCGATAAGTATTGATCAACTTTTCAAGACACTAATCTATGAGAATTTGCTGTGTGAGATAGCAATGAAAAGCAATGAAAAGCTGACGTTCTCGGCTTTCCAATGAAACACTTTGCAGATTGATAGCTATTCTAGAAACTGAGATCTGAACAGTCAAACTTGAGCATGCCGTTTGTATCGATAATATCGATAAGCAAGTCTAATTGTGAGTGTGTAATCGTAGAATTGACTGATGATTCAAATTAGAAAGGTGTACAGTTTTGATAACTCAATAGCAAAGTATTCCTCGAACAAGGAAAATTTCCAGTCTTCCGCTCGGTCACTGGACTTGGATGCACTCCTGCAGCTCTCCGAGGAGCTAGCCACAAGTGGCGAACTTCAGGATTTTGCACAGTTTTCGGTATGTTTTCAAAGATACACTTTCTTCTAGTAAAGCTGTTGATTGTTTTTATATTGATTTAAATATCAAACTATTTCCAGGATCTACCAATCAACCCTTATGCTGATCTGGGCCACGATGATGACCAAGATGATGACCAAGATGATCTGATCGACTCTAATCACTTGGAGGTACACGAGCACTCAAAGCTCTGAACCAGTGCTTTTAAAGAAATAAACAATAATAAAGATTTTCTAGCTTCTGCTGTGTTGTGTTAAAGTCAACGATGCAGTAAATGACCACATTTCTTTCAGAGTGACAGCACCGGATGCCATTTGACTGATATCATTGATGCTGATCACCTCGAGTTGTCCTCCATCAACACTACTCTCTCATTTAACTCAGCCCATTAAGTTGTTGTTTATCTAAATTTGCCAATGTTACGAGTGAATAAAGCTATATTTTTGATCTTTGGGCATTTTTTTGGATACTAATCATAAATCAAAGCTGATTTGGTTAGTATAAAAACACAAACGATTCCAGCAATAGCTAATAAAACTCAATTCTGTGCTTAAAAAGGCCAAAAGTGATGTCTTTTGTTAATCTTTTGTCAATCTTACTACTTTTTTTTACGGAGAAAACCATTAGTAAATGTGAGATGAAGAAAATGACCAAAAATATTTAGCTTTAAGCTTTCCTATTCAAGCTTTCCAAGCTATCGCCTTCAATTTTTCACCCAAATGCTTCAAAGCAAACTTTATTTAACTTGATTTATGAAGGCTTTAGGTAAAAATTTGGCTCATTTTTATGTACAATCAAAACTTCAGTGTCATCACCGCACTACTTTTTCTCTTTGCTATGTATTTCTTGATATTTCATAAAAGTCTGACCACAAAACGACATCGAGTGTATATTTTTTGTATTTCTGTCGGTGTGAACCTTGTTTTATTAAACAGTTCATTTGAGAACAGTTTTGTTCATTTAGATTTGTTCTCTTCTCATCAACGTTTCTGAAACGCTTTCCACAATATTCTTCTCTGCGGTGGTAATAAGAAATAAAATTCGAAATGAATTTGCATAGAGATTTATTTTTATCTGGTCAACTATTTATCTACGGGTCTTATATTTTGAAAGATTAACCAAATTTTTATTGATCATTGCCATTTGTTGTTCATTTTTCATTTTATAGGATGCTTTCCTGTTCCGCGGAGTTGCCAAAAATTGTGATTTCACTGCTCTTTTTTTCTTTTGGTTTGGCTTCAAAATTCTTCTTATGAAAGAGTTTTCGACAATTTGATGACAATAGGTGACAATATGATGAAGGGGAATTGCAAAGAGAAATTTGCATTTACAAAACGTTTGACGTACCCATCTTTAGGCAAAAATTTAGACGCAATCCTCGTTGGTTGACCTCTGAACTCAACGGCTCAAATCATTGATTGAATAAATTGATTGAACAATGACTTTCAAACAATTGAATTCGAGTTCTAATTGGTAGACTCAATAAAATGAATGGCTCCAAACGATTCCTCGATCCAGAAAACCATCGAGCACAATTTACAGGTCAATATATTCTTTTAGAACAATTTTGTCTTAAATTTTGAACTTAAATTTGAATTTTGCTAACAATTCTCTACATTCGATCAAAGAAGTTTGGAATAATTTAATTTGAAATTTCAAAAAGTTAACAACAACTTACAATCAGCATTCTTTTTGCTGAAAAGTTTCTCGTTTCTTGATGTGTCAATTTCTTTGTTTACTTAGGGAACAGGTTTTGTTTACCGGCTTGCAAGCTCAATACACAAATAATGTACACTTAAACTTTATTTAGATAATTTTTGATGTTATTTAGCAAATCAAGATGAATATATCAAGAAAATTTACAAGTATCATTCATACTAAGCTGTTTATAATAACTTTTGTTTCGAAACCTTTCCTTTCTTTCCTTTCCTTCCTTTCTTTCCCTTCTTTCCTTTCTTTCTTTCCTTTCTTTCTTTCCTTTCTCTTTCCTTTCCTTTCTTTCCTTTCCTTTCTTTCTTTCCTTTCTTTCCTTTCTTTCCTTTCCTTTCTTTCTTTCCTTTCTTTCCTTTCTTTCCTTTCTTTCCTTTCTTTCCTTTCTTTCCTTTCTTTCCTTTCTTTTCTAAAATTCTAAAAGTTTTTATTTCTTTAAAGATTAACAATTTCTTTTATAGTTTTCCTTTCAATTCAGCAGTAGTTTTCTCGTTTTTTGATCTCTTCCAAAGATTTCCCTTTCTCGTTGTACTGTTATCCATCACAATAGAGAAAGTCAAGATTAGCCCATTTCAAGTAACACGTTTTTGTCGCTTTTTTAAAGTCGCCACGTGTTTTGGATAGGAAAAGCGATCTTTTGCTCTCCTTTACTTTTCAATCTTTCAATTTACATTATTTGGAACCACGGTAGATTAAAAACTTGGAACCGCTGGGACTCGAACACCGGAACTTTCGCTTACCGCTTAGCTAATGTGCTAACCATTAAACGACAACGCACTTACCGTATTTTCTGTAATAGTAGTGTGCACTAATATTTTTTCAACCTCCCTCCTGCCTGCACTACTATTACAGACTGCACTACTATTACAGAAAATACGGTAATCTCTTTTACTCCAGAGGGAGTTAAATCATCTTGTAAAGTCTTCTTTTTTGTGATTTTTTTTTTCAACACAATACTCTTTTCATTTTCCCAGCATTAATCTATATTTCTGCTCTTAAGGAAGCCGATAATACTGAAATTTCTGTCGACCGCCCGTCGGAAATCGTTTAGCCAAAAAGCCATTGATCTAAAGGCATTCGATCAAAAAGTGTCTTGCCTTAAACCGGCTCCAATTAGCTGAATACCGTATTTTTTTCATTCTTAGCCGATTAGCGTACTATGTGGTGGATTCTGTTATTGTTTTATGCAAGAGAAATCGAGGCTGGTTCAATGTAAGTTTGTTAGTGTTAGATTAAGACAAAGAATTAAGAATTTTGAGAATTAAAAAAGACAATTTTAAAATCCGAAGTCAAAAACAAAGAAATCCAAGCGCTGAATCAAAGCTGAAGTTTCAGTGAGCTTTTCCCTGGACTATTCTTGGTGTGCGGTGGAAGAACCTGCAGTCAAAGTGAGTTGCTTATTTGATAAGATTGATTGATAAGAGAAACAGTTGCGAGCTTTTGAGTAGTGCTCAAATTCTACTTGAAAAAGTGACAATAGTTGGATGAAAAAGATCCAAGTATAGGAAATATTAGATCAACTAATAGTAAACAGTCAAAAACCAATCGATTAACTAACAGTAAGCAGTCGCACAGTGTCCCTGAATGCCTAATATTGAACGCCCAGCGATTTTACTCGCAACTTGCACTCTACCTTTTGTAGCTTAATATTATATTAAACACCTTTTTAGCTAGCGTAAATACTGTAATAGTACCCCAGCCCCATAATGACGATGCGGAGTGTTGCGTAGTCTAGCTTTGAACGAGCTTTTCTCGACACTGGTTTATGCTACAGTGTTCGTTTTGGTGTCAAATGAAAGCTGAAATTCAGGGCTATTTTTTGATCCCAAAGACGCATTTTTTGAAAGTACGGGCGTTTAGAAAAAAATGAAATACTAAAAAAATTTTGCGACTACGCGACTGTACGAGGGGTGTGGGGTACTATTACACTATTTACGGTAAGGAAAAAGGCCAAACTCTAAGCCATTCAGTCAGGCCAAACTTGAGCCAAACCAGAACTAGGTCAGCCTGATCCTGACCAGACAATGGCCTCCAGACTTGGGCTAGGTCGGACCAGAGTCTGATGAGGCCAGGGGGTGGGGTACTATTTCAGTATTTACGGGATGTATTATTCAGCCTTCATCTTTAGATGATCCAGCTCTTGCAGGGATCCCGAATCTCAAATACAATGAGTGGAACAATCCACTACTGCCGATTTTGGGTGCTGGAACTCAGCAAAACTTTCCATACAACAACTATCAATCGACAAACAATAATGGATATTATTCAAATACTATCAATTATAACTACAATAATCAGCCAGCAACATCATTTGAAAGCTCTCCAAGCTACTATGAAAGGCAGAATGCTCTCTACAGTCAAAAGATTCCTCTTCAACCTCAAAATCTTGAACTTAACAACAATTTGGCTACAAACTCTATTCAGTTTGATAAGCAGTTTCTAAGAAAAACTAGTTTCCGAAGAAATCTGAAACGATCGAGAGTTGAATCGAAAGTATTGCCAGATCGAAAACTATCGAAGAGACCAAAGTTGAAGATCAAAAGCAGGTTAGTGAAAGATAAATGTTAACAGTATTTCTGTTAACATTGTTAACAGCAATATTAACAGCACTTTTTTATCTATAGACTTTGGTAAACACTAGTAGATAAAGGTTTTCAACACAGCACAAGCTGGTTTGAGCTTGAGTCTGATTTAAGCGCTCTTTTTAAGCTCTATAGATCAAAGGTAAGTCAAAGAGATCTCTAGGTGGCAAAGGTTAACTCAGCTTTTGATAGTAGATGAAGATAAAGCCAGAAAGTTGTTAGGTCAGCTTGCTACTAGCAGCAAAATTGATTTCAAATTGATTTGGTGATTTCAAAAAAAAAGCTATTTAGGAATGGGCGAATCTTGAGGACAAAAACTTTCAAAAACTACTCAATCAACTGAACGATGGACTAATAACTTTCTGGTTTTATCTTCATCGACTTTCAAATCAATTTCTTTTTCTCTCGGGTCATTTTAAGATCTCTATCAATAAATTTTTGTTCCCATCTAGTTTTTTCATTTCTTCAATGCCGTAGAAAAGAAAATTTTGATCTGAGCTAGCCACATTTTGCTCTTTCGTCCTTGGGAGAACTTTTTTTTGCGCAGAGGATGATAATTCGGAAATTTATTGCTGAAGTGATGGAATGGCTTTTCAGCTAAATGAAAGTTCAGGATAGGCTGGATTGGATTGAGGTTCACGAAATGGAATCCCGAGAAACATATAGACACTTTTAAAAGAGACATTTACAGGACATTCACAACCGATTTACGGACAATAAGTAGAGGATAGGCTGAAATGGATTGAGGTTCACTAAATGGAATCCCGAGAAACATCTAGACACTTTTAAAAGAGACATTTACAAGACATTCACAACCGATTTACTGACAATAGATTCACTTTTACTCCTAGTTTAAACCTTTAAACAAAACCAGGAAAAATCTATTTTATAAAGCTAGATTTTGGCTATAAAGTCCTTCTAATACTTCAGAAAGTAAATGGTTTGTAAAAGAACTAAAAGTTAAGACTAGCCAAATCAAACCAAAACTAAATGCGAAAGGCATTTAGTGCGAATGACTGATTGAAAGAATCAGCCTAGAATTTACGGAAGATTCAGTAAAAATAATTCGCTTAACTTACAAAATTAGACTTTTTCTTGATCCTGACTAGCTTTATTAAGAAAAAGTGGCAAAAACCAAGTCAACTCCAATCCCAAATCATTTCCAAAGTCAAACTTTTGATGCAAGTCCCGTTTCCTCCGTCAACCTAAGCCTTTTCTTGGCTCAATGAGCTATTACGTGGTCCAGAAAGTCTTAAAGTTGATGCAAGTCCCGTTTCCTCCGTCAACCTAAGCCTTTTCTTGGCTCAATGTGCTATTACGTTGTCCAGAAGGTCTTAAAGTTGATGCAAGTCCCGTTTCCTCCGTCAACCTAAGCCTTTTCTTGGCTCAATGTGCTATTACGTTGTCCAGAAAGTCTTAAAGTTGATGCAAGTCCCGTTTCCTCTGTCAACCTAAGCCTTTTCTTGGTTCAATGAGCTATTACGTTGTCCAGAAAGTCTTAAAGTTGACATAAAAAGATGGGAAATTGAACAATAAACACTTTTTATTTAGATGAAACCATAAGTTCATTGATGAATTTGTTATTTTTCAATAGAAGTACAAAAAAAACTTTCTGGAGCCTAATATTTGAACAAAAAGAGACAAAACTCTGGAAAAGTTTGGCCTTGAAAAGATTTGTTTTCCTGTGCTCACGTTTTTTCAATTTTTATGTCAAATAAAATCTCAATCAAAACGCTTATCAAAGTATCGATTTCGATAAAAGTTTTGCTCGATCCTTGCCCTCAAAATGCATTATAAATAGGCGACTGTTTCCTGGAAATTCTTTCATTTGTACCCTTTTTGAAATGGCTGATTTAAACGATGAAAGCTATATTCAAATCGCTGATGAGATCGTTTTATTGACGGATGAGCCGAGGGAGAAAATTTTGAAGAATATCGCTCATATCTGTGATCAAGATGTAGGTTTAAAATCCTTATTTTTAACTCGTTTTTGGCTAAAGCATTTTCCAAAAGATGCGCCTAACATTGAAGTTACTGTGGTCCATTGGTTATCGGACATCTGATATGCCCCGCCCTTTTGCTATTGGCCATCCAACTTTGAGCCCAAATATCTTGGTGTTGAGCTGTTCAATTTGAATAGTTTTTGTACCAAGCAATAGAGAAAGACTTGGCGCATCAAATTATATCAAGAATATTCAAATTGAACAGGGGGGGGGCATTGTGAGACCTTTTGTACGCGCCCCGCCCCCTTTGCCATTGGCAATCCAACTTTGAACTCAAATTTCTTGGTGTTGGGCTGTCCAATTTCAATATTCTTGGTATCATTAGATGCGCCAAGTCTTTCTCTGTCGATTGATTGCCAATGTCAAAGCGGGCGTGGCGCGTATGAAAGGTTATCAGACATCTGATAAGCCTCGCCCTTTTGCCATTGGCAATCCAACTTTGAACTCAAATTTCTTGGTGTTGGGCTGTCCAACTTGAATAGTTTTTATACGAATCGACAGAGAAAGACTTGGCACATCTTTAAATACCAAGAATCTTTAAATTGAACGGCCCCACACCAAGATATTTGAGCTTAAAGTTAGATTGGCAATGGTAAAGGGGCTTTTTAGGCGCGCCCCGCCACCTTTGTCATTGGCAATCTAACTTTGAGCTCAAATATCTTAGTGCTGGGCTGTTCAATTTAAATAATTTTTGTATCAATCGACAGAGAAGGACCTGGCGCATCTAATGATACCAAGAATGTTCAAATTGGACAGCCCAACGCCAAGAAATTTGAGCTCAAAGTTAGATTGCCAATGGCAAAATGGGCGGGGCACTTGTCAAATGCCCCATAATCCGTAACTGTACTCTAACTGGAACTTCCCTAAACACACCTTTTGGAAATAACAAACAGATCTTCAGTACCTACAATTTAACGATATTCCTTTAGAAAAAGATCTTAAACTTAAAGTAAACCAGTGAATTAAGGTCGATGCTGCAAATTTAACATTGCAGTTGTGTTGTTGTTTGTAAACTAATTACCAGCTTAAATGAGTCTGTACTTTTCGACTAGGTTCACTTTTTACTTTTGAAAACACCAGTGCAATTGTTAAAAAACTGCTTGAGTCTTGGTTCATACTCTTCTCTTGTTACAGCAGAACGAAGGCCCGATCATGCTACTTGATCTGAACGTTCTCATCGAAAAGTACGATTTGTGGAAGCAAGAACTACCAAATGTTGAGGTATTGACAAAAATTGAGAATATTTAAAATCCAATTTAGATCTTCTACGCTGTCAAATGCAACTCAGACCTTGTATTTCTTTCGGCGATGAAAGCTCTTGGTGGTGCTTTTGATGTGGCAAGTAAATGGGAAATGGATACGGTAAAGAAAAGAAAAATAGGAACTGTTTTGGGTGTTTAGGTGATTTCACTTGATGTTTCTCAACATCATATCTTGTATGCGAATCCGAGCAAATCAAAGTCGGCTCTGAAACATGCAGAGAAACTAAAAATCGACTTCACCACGTTTGATTCGATTGAGGAATTGGTGAAGATCAAGAAATATCATTCACATACAAAGTGAGGAAAAGGATTGAGTTGAAAACGAGGCTTGCTAAGAAGTGAACTGATTTAAGAACTGAAAATGACTTATTGGGACTTATTTAATGACTTAATAACTCGAGATATAATGACTTTTCATTCTATGCTAGTTTAAGAACAGTTTAACAGTTTAATAAAAAAGTTTTACGTTGTTCATTGTCAAGATTTAGTTCTGTCATTGTCATTCTGTTGTCACAGATGTCATTCTGTTGTTGTAGCTTGTTACAATCTTAGTTCAATACCAATTTTAGTTCACTTTCCAATTCAAAATCGAAAAGACATTAATCTTCTTTAAGTTTAGACAATTGCTTCGAATCCATGCATGTGATCCGACAGCCAGGATACCGTTGGGAAGAAAATATGGAGTTGATGAGGTAAAATATTCTTCATATGCTTTTATCTGTAAGAATATTTTAAGTGATCAAAAAGTGTTTTTAGAAAGGCGCCATCGTTTTACTAAAACACGCAAAAGAGCACCATTTGAGAGTGGACGGGATTTGGTGAGTTGAGGAAAAGAATTGAGTTCTGGCTTTCTAAGAAACAAGGCTCTTTAAGAAACAAGGCTTTCTAAGAAGTGAACTGGTGTGTCGAATTGCCACTGCTCTGCAGTTAGTCAAAATTCAGTACACAAGTTAGAATTCAAAGCTGATGGATAAACTACCGTAATCAGCCATTAGACGATATTCAGTTGTCCGTTTGTCGTAGCTTGTGTGCTTAAAAACTCATTATTTAAGCTTTGTTTTGAGTCAGTTGCGGGCTCCCTTTTCTATTTATCCATTTTTTCACACGCAAGTGCTAAAGTAATTGTGATAGTGCCAGGTTGCTCCAGGTTGCTCCAGCGAAGTTTGCCCTAATAAGGGAAAGTTTTGATAAAGATTTGGTTCCTTTTCGGTATAGATTTGGTGCCCTTTCGATATAGATTTGGTTCCTTTTCTCTACACGTTTGGTTCCTTTTCTCTATTTTGCGTTTTCAAGACGTCTACCATTGAACCACACAGAGACACGGTCTCACAAGAAATTATAAAGATCAAAGTATTTCTTACAACTGGTTTAAGAACTGAAAATGACGTATTGGGGTAAACTCTTGAATTTTTCAGCTCTAGATATAATGATTTTTCACTTTCTGCCAAAGAAGCTGCTTCTCTAAAAGTTGCTCGATCATTTGAAAAAGCTGAAGCTCATAAAGTTGAAGAAGCTGAAGCTGATTTGATAAGAAGATAAAAGACTAAACTAACCTTGAAATCTAGTTTCCATGTTGGTTCTGGTTGTCGGGATTTCACCACATTCGATAAAGCGATTGAAAATGCAAGAAGACTTTTCGAGATCGGGATCGAGTTAGGACATCAAATGGAAATTTTGGATATTGGAGGAGGATTTTGGGGTGGGAAACATCAGGAATCTGGGTTTAGAGAGGTTGGTTCGAGTTTGAAATCAAGCTTTCTATTTCTATCCAACTTTCTTTCAGCTCGCTCACACGATCAATCGATCTCTGGAGAGGCATTTCACTGGATTCAATGTGAGAGTAATTGCTGAGCCGGGAAGGTGAAATACATTGTTACTTTTAGCTTTGCACCTAAACATTTCTAACTTTAGATACTTTGCCGAGTCACCCATCACATTAATGTGTAACATCTTTCACGTCCGAGAAGTGCCCGCCTATTTAATCGATAAGGAAGGTAACTTTTCAACACTTGTACATTGCGGCAATCAAAAATGCTTAAGAGAAAGACACTGAAAAAACGGCTGTTATGTACTATATAAACGATGGAATCTATGGGACTTTTCAAACGAATCTCACTGAGTCAGAGAGATCCCATGGAAGGCCATTAAAGGTAAAGCTTTAAAAGTTTTAAAGAGTAAAAAGATTTCAGAAAAACTCTGAAGCTACAGAGACTTTGTGCACTGTTTGGGGTCCGACTTGCTCGACGTTGGATCTTGTTGAGGTGAGAGATGGCTCTTGTGAGTTCGTGTATCGAAAAACTTCTAATAGAAGAGCCGGGTCTTCTATTTTTCAATGTCTTTTAAAAATTCTTGTTAAGAATGCCAATATCTTGGGGTTGGGCTGTTCAATTTAAGGATTCTTGGGATCATTGGATGTGCCAAGTCTTTCTTTGTCGATTGATACAAAAACTATTCAAATTGGACAGCTCAACACCAAGATATTTGAGCTCAAAGTTGGATTGCCAATGGCAAAGGGGAGGGGTGCGTATAAACGGTCCCTTTGCCATTGGCAATCCAACTTTGAGCCCAAATATCTTGGTGTTGAGCCGTCCAATTTAAATAGTTTTTATACGAATCGACAGAGAAAGACTTGGGATATCCAATGATACCAAGAATCTTTAAATTGGCCGGCCCAACACCAAGATATTTGAGCACAAAGTTGGATGCAATGGCAAAGGGGGCGGGACGCGTATAAAAGGTCCCACAATCCTCAAAAATGGGTGTTTTTGTTGGATTTTCATCCGCCTTCCAACATCATTAAGCTTCTTAGTCTATAACTATTATTTAAATCCTTTAGAAGTCTTTAAAAAGTTGAGCATTTTGGAGAGTGGGACAAATGCGACCTTTTTTTTTGCGCACCCGGACATTTGCGCACCTTTTTTTCCGCACTTAGCCCATTGGCGCACCTTTTTTCGCGTTTTAAAAAGCTCTAAAAGCTAATATTAACCAATTTCTATTCCAAAAGTTGTTTTTCTAGGTAATTTGAGGGTGTCGAATTCAAATTTTGACATAACAGAGCGTGTAAAACCAATTTGAAAGACAAAACGGCTAGGTCAAATTACAGAAAATTGTTGATTTTTCTCTTTGTATAACTCCGTCCGTTCGCTTCCACAAGCTCTGATATGCCAAAATTTCGATTCTACGCCCTAAAATTACCTAGAAAAACAACTTTTGGAATAGAAATTGGTTAATATTAGCTTTTAGAGCTTTTTAAAGCGCGAAAAAAGGTGCGCTAATGGGCAAGGTGCGGAAAAAAAGGTGCGCAAATGTCCGGGTGCGCAAAAAAAGGTAGCATTTGTCCCACTCCCGCATTTTGCTATCCGTGAGTAGAAAAATCCGAAAAAATGAAAAATTTCGTCTAAGGGGGACTCTTCTTCGATACTCTTCTTCTAATAAATTCGGTACTTCTTATCCACTTTCAACGATTTCAGGATAATGTAAAGAAACCACTGATGGAGTCGGGTGAATGGATGTTGTATGATGAAAGAGGAGCGTACACTTCTTGTCTCCATTCAGGCTTTAATGGAATGCCCCCACCGCAGTATCGATACACAATCAACCATCAGAATTGGTTTGCTAAAGAAGTTTTTCCTTAAATAGAAAACTTTAGGCAACGGATCAAAGAAGCATTTGAATGATTTTTTTGCTTTTCTTTTAAATAAATTTATTCTGACACTTCATTTCCATCAACATTGGACAATTGAAAGCATTCCGGTGGTGTGATTCCCGTTTGCGCTTTCGCATAGTTGAGAGCGTTTCCGTGAACGTAGTACGGATGCCAGCCGTATTTTTGAAATTCACCCACCTAAAATTGAGAAAAATAGCTAAGAATATAGATTTATTGTCTCATCACTGCCTAGCTTTTTATCTGCCTACTTTGCGCTCAATTTTTTACGAAACTTGCCATAACTTTCTTCTAAATGAGTCAATCTTTATGATTTTAATCTCATTTTGTAGATCTCGACAAGTGCAACAAAATGACGTCATTGACGTCAAATTGACGTCAAATTATAAAGATTCAATCACTTAGAAGAAAGTTATGGTGAGTTGCGCAAAAGATCTAGCTGAGTAAAAGATTTAGCGCAAAATAGGCATCCCTGTTATGTTTAGAGATTCAGGGAATACTGCGATAAAAGTGGAGAAGGGTAAAAACGAATTACCATTGTCAAAAACTCAAGTACAGTTCAACTAAATCAACTGCTAGGCCAGGCAAGGTCAAAGACTGATCCGGCCTCTAATCTTTAGTCTGGCCTTGTCTAGCCTTGCCTAGCCCACAAAGTCTGTCTAGCCCAACTCGTGAAATTCTTAGCATTCAGATATGCATCTAGATTCTGGCCAAATCACAACCCATTTCATCAAAATCAATCAATTTTTGGAATCAATAAGTCTCTGAATTCATTCCCACTCACCCATTCTCGATAGGCTTTCAGCAGCGGTCGGTGACTGTTCTCCACACAATTTTCACCAAAAACCTGAAAGAGCTGTGATTTCTTATGATTCACGTACCGTAAATACTGTAATAGTACCCCAGCCCCATAATGACGGTGCGGAGTGTTGCGTAGTCTAGCTTTGAACGAGTTTTTCTCGACACTGGTTTATGCTACAATGTGCGCTTAGGTATCAAAAAATAGCTGAAATTCAGGGCTATTTTTTTGATACCAAAGACACATTTTTTGAAAGTACGGGTGCTTTGAAAAAAATGAAATACTAAAAAACTTTTGCGACTACGCGACTGTACGAGGGGGGGTGGGGTACTATTACAGTATTTACGGTAAGGAAAAAGGCCAAACTCTAAGCCATTCAGTCAGGCCAAACTTGAGCCAAACCAGAACTAGGTCAGCCTGATCTAGACCAGACAATGGCCTCCAAACTTGGGCTAGGTCGGAGTCTGATGAGGCCAGGGGGTGGGGTACTATTACAGTATTCATGTAACTCTTAAGACTTCAAACAATCATTTTGTAAGCAATACTTTATTATTGAAAGAATAAACGTTAGCAAAATGTTGAAAAATCAAAAGAAACCTCTCGATGATCGTATTGTTTCTTTTTTGCACAATTTATCAACGAAAAACAGAAAATTAATAGCACAGAGATTCTAATAAACATTAATATTTGAAAGAAAAGTTTCAAACTTTCATTCAAAATCGATTTTCGATGAATCTCTTTTTGTGGTTTCTTTTCGAAATGAATGTTTTACCAACTAATCAAATAAAGAATGGAAAATATTGGATTGGAGACTCGGAAACAATGAAAAATTCGATTTTTAGCTAGTTTTTAAGCTAGTTTTTCAGTTGAAATAGTGAAAATTATCAATTTTTATCAATTTTTAACAATTCTTTATTAGACGAATTTGTGCAGATAATTGAAAACAGAAGAAATATCACAGACAGAACCATTTTAGTGTAAAGCTTTCAGTCTTTTTCAGATCAATATAGGAAATTCGAGTCATCTACAGAACAATCGATAAGATTTACAAATCCCAGCTAAATAGATGATGTTTGATGAGCATATCCCTGACTCCTTCCCTTAACGGTTCCTCGCCAAACACTTTTTTCTCGCTTGGTGATGTGACAGAGTTCATGATCTGAAAATTGGTTTATTTCTTTGTGTTGGATTTGAGTTTATTGGATTTTGGAGTATGAAATATAGCAAACTTTTAAAGAAATTCATTTTTTCCTTTGATCCCTTTGATCTCACCGCCAAAAATCTCACCGTCAGTTTTTTCAACGCTACTCAAAAACGGTTAAAGATTTTTCAATTCTGATCTAAGAGGTCAAACCGCCGTAATCGATTATATATTGTCTCAAAAAATCAGACCAAAATTCCCACTAGGACTCGAGTTATGAAGTGAACGGATAGACACAACTTTGCGTCTTATAAATAAGATAATTATTGGTTTGGTGGAAAAGTCCTTTCGGATTTTTTGGGAGAGTACCTTAAATTTGTCCAATTTTGACGTTTTATAGCTCATCCTAAAGCTGAATTCAAGACGGATCGATTGGTAAAAACCGTTTGGAGATATCTCTTTTCTAAAAAATTTTACAGCTATTTTAGTAAAGGGCGGCAGAGCCAAAAAATGGCTGTTTTCACGTTTCGTTAGTTTTCCGTGCAGAACCCTAGGCTAAAAACATGTGTTTTTGCTAAGATTCTGAAAATGCGCGGTTATTTTCGACGCTGATCACGAAACACATGTTTTTAGCCTTGGTTTGAAAGTCAGCGCCATTTTATACTACCCAAATTGAATAATGAAGCTGAGGATACATCTTTTGAACATCTGAATTGGTAGATAAAGTCAGTCTTATTGTTAGAACTGCAGGATGTACTCATTCCTGATTATCAGGGCTCCAAAAGCCAAAAATCATGACACTGTCAAGCCAAAGCCAATCACTATCAATTGGTCTTGAGCTAGAATTTCAAATTTACTGTTAGATTTGGTTTAAAACATTGGCTTAGATTTGGTAACAAAGTGCTCAAAGAAGTTATTGATTGATATACTTCAGAACTTAGCTATGATAAACGTTAATGATCAACGCTACGATAAACTTAGCTATGATAAACGTTTCCCAAGGATTAATGTTAGCTATAAAATCACTTGACTAACCTTTTTCTTCGTACTGCTCAACACACCGGCTCCAGTCTTTTTCTTTTTCGTCTCAAAGCCATCAATCTCGAACAATGGCGATAATTTGAAAGCGAATTGGGATAAAAGTCGTAAATCGCATTTGATCTAAACTTTTCTTTAATCAGCTAAAATTCCAATTTACTTGTCTCCAAGCCGGTGTCCTAATGAAAGCCCAAGAGTGATAAAACTTCTTTCGAATTTCCTCCTGTTTCACACTACCACAAAGGAGTTCAAACCAAAGATGTAGACATTGTTCGTTCACTCCCATAACGAGTAATGATCTAGAAATTGATTCTTTCATTAATTGGCTTTACTTTTACCGAAGCTTTACATCTTGATGAGCATTTACAGCATTATGAGTGTCATTAACCTCTTGAACCGATCGAAATAGTAGTTCTTCGGGAGATAAAAGCTGAAAATTGAATTTAAAGCTATAAGTAAAGCAAAATTTGTATACAAAATCAATTCTAAAACGTTAAAATCAATCAATCAATGCTATCAATTCTATCATTTCAAAATTTCAACTCACTTTTCCATCTTGATCCAGTCGAAAAGTGCTACAAAGCGTCAAACGAGAGTACACTGCATTGTAATGCTTTTGAACTGAATAGTAGGCAATGTCTTCTGAAATTTTTCTCACTTAAAAGATTTCACAAGCTTTTCTTAAACCTATGAACGACCAAGGATGAAATGGAGTAGTTGGATAGAGGTTATTTTCTCGAATTCCGTGCTCCATCACCTGTAAATTGACGTTAAGCGAGTTTAAACTCGATTATACTCGATTAAATTCGATTAAATTCGATTAAACGATCAAACGAGATTCAAATGGAACTCTTGAAAACAATTTTATCAGTTCTCTAATACATTTCTTTGACTTTTACCTCTCCTCATCGTTTTGACAGCTTAATCCTTATCAAACTATCAATTACTTGAACTTTGCTATGTATTGCCTTTCTCGAAACCCGACAACATGTCCGTTGTGGTCTAGTGGTTAGGATTTATGGCTCTCACCCATAAGGCCCGGGTTCGATTCCCGGCAACGGAATAAGTTTTGGTTTTGATATTGAAAATTATAATTGCACACTTCAATTTCAACTCTTTATCGAAATTTGAATCGAGTTTGATTGACAGCTGTTAATGGCAGAGCGAGGGTGAAATCCCCTTTTCTCTCACCCTCTATCACCTTCCGTTGTGGTCTAGTGGTTAGGATTTATGGCTCTCACCCATAAGGCCCGGGTTCGATTCCCGGCAACGGAATGAATTTTTGCTTTTTAAGAAACTTGAATCGAATTTGAGCTGCCAATGAGAGAGCGAGGGTGAAAATGCCTTTTCTCTCACCTCCTCTCACCTTCCGTTGTGGTCTAGTGGTTAGGATTTATGGCTCTCACCCATAAGGCCCGGGTTCGATTCCCGGCAACGGAATAACTTTTTACTTTTAGTCAGAAAATTATTGAGTTGTAAAAAACACTTCAATTTTAGAAAACACTTCAAAGAGTGAAAAAAACACTCTTTATAGGATTAGAGTCCGAACCATTACCGTGCCGCTAGGTGATGGTACCGATTTTTACCTAAAGTTTCCCTCAATTTTTCCATCACCTCAGAGGGAAATGCCTGCGGTAGACGTTTCAAATTTCTTTCAAATGCTAACAACTTGGCATTTTACTGAATCTAAATTTTCATTTCCTAAATGGTGCTGAAAACCTACGGGGGAAAGGGCCTTTTGCTGAAAGAATTTTGCGGAAACGTACCACATAATGGCAGCATTAAATTAAGAAAAACAATTGAAAAAACGAAAACGAAAAATTCCTACTAGGGATTCAACTCGATAATCCCTAGTAGGAATCTAATGAATTGTCAAAAAAAGATGCAAAAACTAATGAAGAATTCGAAAGAAAAAGTTAATTTGAAGGGTTTGTTCAAGGAAAACGACGAAAATTGGGCTTTTTGGGCTTAAGATTCGAGTTCGAGGTTTTTTCTCGAATTCTAGCTTGAAACTCTAAATTTCCAGTTATGCCACAGCAAAAGCAAGTTCCAGTTATGCCACAGCGGCGGGGAATCAGTGGGAATCAAGTTTCCCACTGATTCCCCGCCGATTTTTTTTGCTTTATAAAAATTTCAGAAAGTGAAAGGGAAACTTGATTCCCCGCGGGAAAGGTGATAGTACGAGGGAAACATTTCCCGCTCATTTGCTGCAGGAAATGTGATAGTATGAGGGACACATTTCCCGCTCATTTGCTGCGGGAAAGGTGATAGTATGAGGGAAACATTTCCCGCTGATTTGCTGCAGGAAATGTGATAGTATGAGGGACACATTTCCCGCTCATTTGCTGCGTCCACTCATTTTCCGCTAGGTAATGGTGAGCGGGAAAGGTTTCCATACGCAATTTTCCCGGGAAGCGTTTCCCATGGTGATGGTCTTATTTAAGAAATTTGAATCGAGTTTGATTGGCAGCTGTCAATGGTAGAGCGAGGGTAAAATGCCCTTTTCTCTCACCCCCTCTCACCTTCCGTTGTGGTCTAGTGGTTAGGATTTATGGCTCTCACCCATAAGGCCCGGGTTCGATTCCCGGCAACGGAATGATCTTTTGCATTTTGAGAATTAAGTTTGAGAACTGTTTTTATCTTAAATTATCAGACTCTTAAGGTAAAACTTAATGTATAGCTTTTAATTTTAACTGTTTTTAGGATTACGATGTTGAAATTTCGCTGGTAACTGTTAACTGGCTGCTGCTCATCATTCGTACTTGAGAATGATAGTGTAGTTTTGAATCCAATACTTGGTCAGTTAACCAAATTCTGTTTACTATTAGGCTAGTTTATAGAATTGGGTTAACTTTTTTTCAACTTCAACACTTCAAGTATCATAGGATTAGCTGCTCAATACTTGGTCAGTGTACTGCATTTTGAATGCACTTTCCGCTTTTGACAGCTTTCTCCTTATCAACCTGTCAATTACTTGGTCAGTGTTGTAAGTACTTCTTCAACTCCAGAAACAATCTCCGTTGTGGTCTAGTGGTTAGGATTTATGGCTCTCACCCATAAGGCCCGGGTTCGATTCCCGGCAACGGAATGAAGTTTTGCTTCTTTGAGAATTAATTTGGGAATTGTTTTGGATTAAATTATCAAACTTTTAGGGTCAAATTTTTAATCTAAAACCTTTAATTTGATTGAGTTTAGGCCTACGATGTTGAAATTTCTCTGGTGCTAATTTTCTCTGGTGTTAATTGGTTTTTTTTCTGTTAATTTTCGCATCGTTGCTTAAAAAGCGCTTATCTTCTTTGAAAATTAGCTTAACTTTTTGCAAATCTTTTACGGATAGTTACAGTAAGCTTTCTACTACCAGATTCTATTAGGTTTTTGACTTTGTTTTGATTTTGATTGGTTTTTGACCACCCTTTCTGAAATCACCTGCCGAAAAGCGTTCGCCAGTCTTCCTCGAATATATTCGGTGATTTCCGGAGAAATCACTTCATCCCCGTAAACT